AAGTATTTTTCTGATTTATTTTATTACATCTGTAATAAAATAAATCAAAAAGTTCTTTAAAGAGTGCGAAATTTTAAATCACTACAATTTATTCTTGTAGATTTATAGTCTACTTATCCATATAAGTCCATACGTGTTTTCAGTTTGAGACTAAATTACACATAAATTAAGCAAATTGTTTAAATTTAGTTAAATAATTTATATTATTATATTAAAGGATTAAAAATTTTTAATACTTATTTTATGTAAATATTTAATAATAATTTAAACTTTTTAATTATTAAAATAGAAGTTTCTTTCGTGTTAAATTTAGTTCATTAATAATTTTGAATATTTATTGTGGAAAAATGTTGATAATGGATATAATTTTGATCATTTTATTAGAAGATTTTGTAGAAATGCATCAAAATATTAATTGCTGTTAATTGTGTAATTTAAAATAAATGAGAAATTTTAAAATATAAAATTAAACGAGCATTTTTATTATTTATTTTTACTGAATTTTTTCTTATTAATTTGTAAAGATTCTTATTAAGATATAAGGAAAAAATAAAAATAAAAACATAATACTAATTTTACTAAAAAGCTTTGAAAAAAGCAAATTGGTAAATGCGTTTGTAAAAGAAACGTTGATATCTTGAAAGATTAAAAGTAAATATTTTTTTATTTATATAAGAAATTTTATATCCGTGGAAATGTTAACAAATTATAAAAGTAAAATGTCACGCTATTGAGAAAGTATTGAATAAGGTAAACAAAATTCTTTGAATGTTATGTAGTCCAAAGCCTACCCATAAAAAAATAAAAATTTTTTAATATAAAATTTATGTTTAGAAAATTGCGATACAGTTAAAATGAATACGTTTTCAGCTGTATTTCAAATGTTACAAAAGATACAATCTTTTATTTTTATGAAAGTTTTTGCTTTTTTTATGAACAATCCATTGTTAATATATCAAAGATTTTCCATTGAAATATACATAAGTGGATGGGAGATAAATTTCAATGTAAATTATATCAGACAAACAGAAAATGATACTTAAAGATCACGCAAAGAAAACTAATTGAAACATGAAAACAAAGTGAAGTAAGGAACACTTTCGTCAAACCGTTATTAGAACAGATAAAAGCTAAAAATGTCATCTCTTATTTCAAAATTGATTTCTCAATCTATTAAAGAATATCGATAAAAACGTGTTCTTCTTCTCTTTTAAACAGAAAACCGTATAATAAAACAAAGAAAATAATATGAAAAGTTATATTTTTTCATGTTTTTTGGAGAACTTTGTGTGTCCAAGGAGAAAAGTTTTATTGATCAATTTTTTTAGATAGCTAAAGTATTCAATTTATGACAAAAATGTTCTTTATTTTTAGTTATTCCATCAATTATTTTTGATAAATGTCTTTGTCTTCAACTTTTCGTGCTTAGCATATTTTATTTCTCTTACAAAGCATTTATTTTTCCTTTTACTTTTAGAATATTCTATAGACGATTCCAAAAATCTATATTTATATCTTTCTATATACAATATGTAATTACCAAATCAATAACAGGAAGCATATTTTCTCTTTCTAAACAAATTCTAAAGGTTTTCCAAATTGCTATTGAAAGTAGAAATGACTAATTCAAATAAGATCAATTTTTGTTTCTTTGTTTAATTAAAAACCCAATTCTGGCGAATCGTTTAAAAATAAAATTGATAAATTTTATAGTTCTTCAATTTCTATTTATATAATAGTATATTGATTTGCAGCATTTAAATTAAATTTTGATTTATTGTGATAATCATAATTCGATATTATTTCTGAAGAAATTGTAACTGTTTGTACAGAATTTAAATGGGATATCTAGGTTTAGTAATAAAAGATAATTTCTGTTAGTTTTTTCGTGTTATTACTTGATTCTCGCCTTTATTAATACTCTGATAATTGAATAAAACAAAAATTATCATGATTTTTGACACTAGTAACATAAATACTTTCTTCAGAATCTGGATTTAAAAAGTTATTTAATTATTCCTATGATTATCAAATTTATTTAGAATTCTTTGCAGCATTATGCTAAGTTTTCTGTTTAGTTTTTAACTTTTTCCTTCTCCTGAGCACTAAGTGGATCTTTATACCAAACTCACAATTGTTTTAACCGTCTACAATGGAGCGACTAAATGGTAAAGATGGGCCAATGTGTCTGAAAAGTCCACGAAAAATTCTTAGAATTTCTGGCTCACTCAATTTCGTATCCCTCAGAATTTCAGGCTAAAGTCTTTACCACCTCGGCGATATGGCCATTCAGGTTAAGTTGTATATCTGCTTTTACTACACTGGAAAGCTTATAATAATATAATCTTACATGCAAAAACTTGTAATGTTGACGACAACAATTACAATTTATTTATGTAGATAATACTTGATTTTTCAATATTTAATACATTTAAATAGAAATTATTTAAGTCTAAACAATTTCATTACTTTCTGACAATTAAGTAATTTTTTTAAGTTGTTGATACATTTTAACTTTTATCTAAGATCAGATTACTTCACTTAAATTTCATAAAAGCATAAATCTGCATTGAATATTTCCAACAGTAATTAGACTTTTTTCTAAATACTTTAATCATTGGCAATATTGCCTCCCGCGATTAATAGGAAGACGTTTTTATCTAGTTTCACTCAATGTACTAGGAGACTTTATTTCGAATGAAACTAGATTCGTAATTTTTCACTGAAAATATATTTACTCGTTTTAAATTCTCTGTAGCGATGTCTTTATTTTTGTAAATGTTTTTTTTTTCTTTTTTTACTTTAGAAATTGAATTAAAATTATTAATTTTTACAAGCTTTATTTAATTTATATTCTTTACACTTGATGCTTATAAAATATATAAATCACATAATTATATTACTATATTTTAATACTATAAATCAACTTCCGTTTCTAAAACGGATGAATTCATTCTCAAATACAGTCTGATCAAAATTACCTCTGCCATTCGCTTATAATATATAATAACTATTATCCGACTTATCATCAAAATGAATCTGATTACATTTCATGCTTGAATTATATAGAATATTAATAGTCATATACAGTATTCGGAATGAATAATAAAGTATAATATACTTGATAGATGTGAATATGTTAAAAATTAAATGTAAATACTCAAATTCCAATTTAAAAAAAAGAAAGAAAAAATATAAAATGACATTAATGAGATGTGAAATTCGAATAATGCTGTATATTTTTCTACATAATTCTAAGAATTCACATTTATATTATTTTCCTTGTCATCTGCATATAAATATACTTCTATTTCTAGAAAAATTTACCATAGTATTTAATAAGTTATAAAAAGAAAATAAATTAAAATATGGAAATATTTTATCATCAAATTTCTTAAAATTTGAGAAAAAAGTTTGATTTCTAGAGAATGCGAATATGTTTCGAGCAATGTTGAGCAAGTTGCATCAATACAATAACATATACCATATCATTAGAATATGATTTGCGAACTCGATTAATATGATATTATCGCTTACATACATTATCGTATTTGATAGTAATTAGAATGTTGTCCGAATTAACCTTATTTGATATCAAATTCGAATTATTACAACCACTGAAATAGCGGAGTACATCTTCATTCCGGCCAAGATTAATCAAAATAAATCAATAGCAAAGTTAAGATTTCATACAAAAAATTTTAGTACTGTATTTACAAGATGAAAGATAAAATTTACTTCACGGATTTAATTAACTAATACTTTTGTTAATTAATTGAATTAAAGTAAGTTTATTATGATTATTACTTAATCTTTTGTTTAATTATGGTAAATTTAGCAAATTTTATTCTGAAATTATTAAAAGTTATNAAACATAAAAATGGTTTATAGATTAAATTTAAAGCATTTTAAGGGAGTAATTTTTGTATAACATCCGATTACTATGTATCACATACTTCATCAATTCTTATTTTATAAATATAAATTGTAAACAAACAACAACAAAAGATGCATTTACTATTTTTTCTAGGTGATATATAAATTTTTATCTATCGCTGATAAATTTATAGGGCTATAAACACATTTAATTTAATAATTTACATATATATTGACTATAAATTGTATAGAACAGCAGGAGTTGCAAGCCATTCCAATGTCGAGTGTAGTAGAACATTAAGGTCTTTTGCTTATATTAAAGTGTTACAACTATCAAAATTGAGATAATAATCAAATATTCAATGATTAAACTTGTTATTTATATACAGTACATGCAGGTTAATTGTAGTTTCATATTAAAGTCATATAAATAATCTATTAATATAAACATCTCTCTTTATTTTCTTATATTTAAGCATTTATTTGATTTATTAAATTTGAAATAATTTATTATAATTTCTCTTGTTATATTGCTTTTCGTATTTATAACAACACAAAATTTTTAATGAATAGCAAATAATGAAATTATATAGAGTTAGTGAAAAAAAAAACATACATTAAAATAAATTATCTCTATATTTTTAACTACCAAATACAAATTTGATTATTTATTCCATTAAACGATTAAAACATTTAAATTTAATTCATTATAATAATAAATATAGGCCTATAATTTAAATTATTAATCTATATGTTTACAGATATTCTGAAAATAAAAAGGAATTCTTTACTTTTATTTTATTTATTAATCTGAACATATATTTATTTCATTTAAAAGTATAATAAACTTTTAATATAATTTCTTTAACAAATAAGCAGATTAAAATAGGTTATATTTATATAATTTGAATTACATTTTATTGATTGGCCAATAAAGTCTATAAGAAATTTAATATAAATTTTAATTAATAGAAAAAAAATTAAAATACTATTTAAGGAATTAAAAAAGAAAATTTACTTAAATTATTTCTTACAAGAAAATTATCGTTTAGTGAGACAATTTTATATGAAAAAAATAAAAATGATAATAATTTAAAGACTATATTTATAGAATTAATGCACCTTATTAATGAAAATAGTTTATTCTTGCAATTAAAATAATACATAAAATAAATATTAAATATTCGAACATATAATTTAACCTTTAACCTTTGTATAAAACTCACACAAGAATCGTACCAGCAGGTTTCCTTCAAACCATCCTCTACTTCGCTTTTGGTATCCTCTTCATATTCTGATAAGTGAACCATTCTATGATATTGAGTGGCACATTTTCTCTCGTCAGTTGAAACATTCTTGAAACATTTAGCATATCTCAAATATTCTATAAAGAAAAAATATAAGAAATACTTTTAAAATAGTTTCAAGCGTTAAATTTTGTTATAATAATGAAATTTTCTAAAGTTACGATGCCTTTTAAAATGTTTTTTTATGGATAATAAAGATATTTATAACCAGGCATCTACATAGGTACATTAGTCTATTTTCTTTCTTGAATATTGCTTCAGAAAAGAGCTAATAATGAGAGCAATAAGACGGCATCACTTTTATTGATCTAATCTAATTGGAGTTAGTGCCAAGAAGTAATATCGAAAACCTTTCTAATATGAAATTTTATATTGAATTCTGCTTTTTTCCTTTATTATTATTTTTTTAATCCTGAAACATATTTTGAGGTAGAAAGAATGTATTACCTTATTTTCATTATTAATAAGCTAAAAAATTNGTAACAACAATAAAGCCAAGCGAAGACAGAAACATCTCTACTACTTACAATAGTAACGTCTGAATAAACACGAGTTCCAGACAGATAAATGGTGCAATAATTTTGTTCATAATGTGATTAAATTATTTAAATATATATTTATATATTTTTCCCTTTTTTATAAAGTAAATTGGTTGGTTATTTATGTAAATATCAGTTGCCTTTCTCGTCTTTACTTTTCCTTTATCTTGTCGAGAACGTTACGACAAAGTATAAAGTTTTATTTATTTTTTAAGAAAATAATCCGTTAATGGAGAAAATTATTATTATAAAAGGTCGTTAATAATTGTATATATATTTTTCTTGCCAATAGCATTTTATGTTGTGAATATATAATGAAAAAACAACAAGGAAGATGTGTATTTTGTGAATTAATGTGAAAAGTCGTATAGATTTAGAAACAAAAAAAAACAAAACAAAGCAAAGAATATGAAACGATGCAAATGAAAACATAATATAAAATTGTTATAAAATATGTCCTTAGTCGTTAGCTTGTTGAAAAATTTTATTTAAAAAAATAATTTCTAACTCACTTTCTTGTACAATTCCAGGAACACAAAGATCTTCGATGACATTTCGTGATCCGGAAACAACAGAATCAAACAATCGCTTTTGAGAAGAAGAAAAACATTTTTTGCTGTGATTTTCCACACAATAAAATCCTTCTTGAAGTTGTCTGAAAATATTGAAAATTATTTTGTATCTTGCATGACTGATGCACTTAAGGCTAAATCAATCGTATAAAAAAATGACAAGAAAAAGCAGTTTCAAAGATTTATATACAATATAAAATAATAGAATATCTATTTTTCAATTGATTACATTTTTAAAATTTTATTTTTAAATTTCTAATATAATTTATTCTTAATATAAAAAATTATTTTTATATAAAGTGCTATAAGTAATAATTAATATATTAAATAATTATTATATTTTATTAATAAAAGTTTTTAGNTAAAAGTTTTTAGTAAAAAGTATGGGAGGAAAAGTATAAAAAACTTCTTATTCGTACTTAATAAAAAATGTATTAATTTTATTTAAAAATAAATCATATTTAATAGGAAAACTCATTCATTGTAAATTTTGTTTTTTTTACTTTATTTTAATAATTTAAACAGGTTATTAAAGTATTTATATCAAAGCAACCCCTTCACGGTTTACATTTATTTTCTTGTGAAGTACTATCACTTATAGTCTGTAACATATCATTTAAATATTATGATAGTATTTCCGACATTTGAGAATAAAACACAAATGATCCAGCACATGTTATCACGCCATTTCCTCTCTGCTTTAAAATTTTTATGACTCCATATAAAAGTTTAAAATGTAAATGGTTCTATTACATCGATTTCGTAAAATAGTAGTAAGCCTATATAAATTCTTTTAAAATGATTAAGCATATAATTCTATTATTTAATTCTTAATTTATTATTAATATATAAAAATATAATAAGTGATAAAAAATCTAAGATATTTGATTATTTTTTAATACATTTACGTGCATATTAAGATTTGTTTGAAATATGAACTTAAGAAATAAAAAACTAAATAAAAAATGCTTTTAATTCTATGCCAATCTAATATGTTAAATTAATAAGTTTTTTGTTCAATTATATTTATATTAATGAATAAATTAATATAAAAGAATTCTTTACTGTATCTTGAACATGTATTACCTTACTAAATTGTAAGATAATTTAATTAAAACTTATTAATTTACGAAAATGTTTACAAATAAATATAAAAAATTGTTTGATTATTCCAATTTCCATTTACTTAACGCAATAAGAAAAAATATTTGATACAATTCGGGATTAAATATTAAAAAAAATTTCCAAATAATAAATTTAATAATTGATCTCAAAAATTTTATTTAGTTTTTCTTTTTTTTTTTTATTAATCTTTAAAAATTGTTGATACATAACTAACATTCGTATAGAACTAATATAATTTATTAAATTATAAATTAGTAGAATAATTTAATATAATAATTAAAAAATGCGTCCAATTTAAAGATTTATCTTATCTTATGAATGATAAATGAAATATTTGTAAATGATAATTACATCACTATTCGCTTGTTGTTGGATTAATGTATTTTAGTTAATTAAGAGTAAATTATTTTCTAATATTTATTGTTTGATGAATGTTGCGACACTTAACGATTGTTTAAATAGAGTGTAGCCCTAAAGTCAGTTAACCGAAATACACTTTATTTAGTGTGATTTTAAAAACAGTTTAAAAAATTATCTTAATTAACCCCTTAGTTAATCGAATTTTGGGTCATTCTGCGTTAAAAAATACGATAAAACAGTATAACTTTGTTTTAAAATTGCTTTACAATAAATAATTTTTTTACAACATATCTCTTTTAGACGTTAAATCTGAATTTTTTATAACTCCTTTTTATAAAAGTACAAAATAGAGATTTATTTAGGTATCTGCATCTGGTTTATAGCATGAACAAGCAGAAGTTAAATAAAACATAAAATGTGCAAATGCATGACTGTTAAGACATATAATTTACACGAATACGAAAGTAGTTTACAATAAAGATGAAATAAGAAAGACATTTTTCATTCTGATTCTTTCTGAAAATGTAACACGTATTATAAGATTGTTCGAAATAACTTTCTTTACTACGAATGTATAAAACGGTTATACCTGAGAGTGCGTTTTTCCTTAAAAAGGTATGAAATTTTAAACGAAATACTAAATCTTGTGGAAAAGAAATTGAATTTTAAATATCAAAAATTGAAGTTATTTATATTATCTTCTATAAGCTGATAACTTCAGTATACTTATGCATATGATGATTCATATAGGATTATTAAAAAAATGCATTAAATTCAAATCAACTAGAAAATATATTGAGAGATTCAGTCCCTTGAATCTCTCAGGAGCAATATTTATAAAGAGAATCTCTCATCATTACAGTAATCTTTAAAAAAATATATCGATTTAAATTGTTTTTAAAAGTAAATGTTCGGGATTTATAAGAAGAGAAATACAATTCTTAAATACTTAGGGTGCAAAAAGCACCTCTGAGAATATTTTTTTACGGTGTATTACGTAATTTATTTGCTGACAATTGATTTTCGACAACACATCTCTCAGTAATTAATCGACAAATATTTTAAACGTGAAAAAATAGATAATTAAAAAACTAATCGTGTAAATTCCTCTTAAATTATTTGTCAAATAATTGATTGCGGGCTTTAGATTTTTATAATAAAGCATCTCTAAAATTTAATAAAATTATTTTAATTTATGAAATTACAATATATAAATATAATATAATAATAATTAGTTTATTATGATTTGTAGAAGATTTTATAACCTTTAACTAAGTGCGATAAATCGTGAAAGAATAAGTAAAAAAGAAAAGCTTAAGTGTATCCACAAGCAATTAAGTATTTGGCGAATTACTAGTGCAATAATAGTTCGGCGAGCAATTTTTCTACTAGCAAATGCTCATCAATGAATTTCCAGACGATCAATTGCTTGTAAGCAATTTCTTGTAAACATTCTGGAAGCGAATTACTATTATAAATCCTGCTACAGTTTCCTATATTACAGTATTTTGTCAAAATTATACTTCTATCTAAAATTTCTGTACTACTTTATCCAGAAAAATTAGCTTTATGTGTCATTTTTACTGTGTAATACTTCCTTTTTTCTGTTATGTACGTGTTCTTCTATTTTATAATATTGAAAAAGTAAAAAAAAAACCAACTAGATTTTCTATATTGTGTAAATGTAAGAAATTAAATTTAAATGAAATATAAAACATATTATATATTATTTCTTATTACTTATCTATCAATAAAAACTTATTAAAGATCACATTTATAAATTTCTATTGATAGGCCATCATAACATATATGCGTTTACGAAATGAAGGAGAACCATAGAACATCCATTATGAGTCACATGCAATTGAATCGGATGCTTTGGCATGGATGAGGAATGGGATCCAAACTTATGACTCGTAACCACGCCTGAAAAATCCATTAAACTTAGAGCACATCACATGTTTTACTATACATGCAATATACTTGTTATATACGTGTTTTCTAATATATTTTTCTTAATGTATTAGTATACGTATTAATCTATTATATGCTAATTATAATCATTGAGTATGTACCGATTTATATTTAACTTTAAAGTGTTATTTATTTAAAAATATAAGAAAAAGGATAATTTATTTTTGTCATAATTTAATTTGTTGAAGTAAGTTTATTTTCAGATCGTTTTAAAAAGAAAACAGAGCGACAATTGCTGCAGGATTAATTAATTAATTCATAAATTGATGTAAATTAAACTTCTGAATTAATTATTTATAAAACTATTCGTCTTTTTTTTTTCGTTATTTACAGATCAATTTTAACAGATATAATTTTATTTTTTGCTTTTTATAGTACATGCATTTCTAGAAGATTATTGCAAAAAATATTCCGTAACATTAATAACTGTTTCTTTGTAATATATAATAATAATGATTTTTCATTTACAAACTCTCAACAAATTCAATTTGAAATATTAATTTTAATATATAAAATTTACCTGATAGACAACTGAAAAAATACTTCAATGGAGTCATAATTTAATGCTGCTCACGTTTATAAAAGAGTTTAGATGTTTATAGCTTCTTTAAAGCGTACTTACAGACAGACATCTTTCAGCTCCTCTCTGGTAGTAGCAAATGCCAATTTTTCGCTTTGTGTCACCGCTTGTAGAGAAGCCATGCATTTCTGGAAATTCTCCAAGGAACAATTGAAGCTTTTTCCATTGCATTCTAAAAATTGAATGATAATTCTTAAAATTCCCAAATGTTTTTAATATGTAACTTTAACATTTATTTTTTAAATTATGAGTAATAAAGTAAATTTTTCATTTCTAATAGATAAATTTTTATTTAACTACTTTCAATTCTTTGAAATGATGTTAAATAAACGTATTTGTAAACATCCAATTTAAATAAAAAATAACATTAAAAAATTAAAAACAAAATTCAATCATCAGTTTAAATAATATAAACATGAATTATTACAAATTTAGAATTCTAAATTTTAGTATTTGAAGTAATTTTTAAAATATTTTATTAAAACTAATCTAAAATTAATGTAAATAACCGACGTAATTTATGTATAAAGTAAAATAAAGAATTTTTACGATGTTTAAACAATCGATAATTATAGAATAAAGAATGATATCGTAGAAAAATTGAAAACAATTTATATTTTTTATAGGTTTATATATTTTTAGTTTGTAGATTTTATATTTTTAAATTTAAAACGTATGTATAGATTTATTCTAAAAATAGCCGAAGAGAAATGAAATATTTATAAATTTTTTCTCCACTTTCTCTGTTATTAATTATTAAAAATTATCATCATGTACAATTACGTTATTGATTTTTTCCAGACAATGAATAAATATAATAAATTACGTCTATTTAATCATTTTTCAGTTAATATTTTGTGTAACTTCTTCCCTATTTGTTATTGAATTATAATACTTCTTAAATTAAAATTTTAAAAGTATATTTTAAGAAACAAAAAGATCAAAGGAAACTCCTTACATAATATTTAAACAGATCAAAGGCCACTAATGAAAGATTCAAATTGGGTATTGTTTTATATTATCTATTTCTATTATTATATAAACATTTAGTTGTTTATAACAAATTTTAAGATTAACTTTGTACAGTACATTTATTAATACGCAATTACTGAAGCACAGTACAGTACATTAGTAATTAATTATTAATAATATTTAAATTAATTAAATTTACTCTCTTTAGAACTATCCTTTCTACTACTTTTTCAATCTTAGATAAATGTTATAAACCTTAATTAATTGTAATTGCTTTGTAGTTTTATGCCTATAATTTGTTAATTTTTCTGTTTTTAATTTTAGTTACGGTGTGAATTATATTATTTACAGAATAAAACTGACTTATGTAAATTGATCGATTCTTTTTTTGCAGCTGGGATTTGGTATTTTTATCGATATCGTGCACAACTGAATCGCAGAAAACTACAGTTTTCGGTTTGATGACTCAGAAGATAGTTTATAATATCTCTAAAGAAACAAAATTTTAGTTCTATATACTTCTTGCTTTCTTCTGACAAAAGTATATAATTTTTTTATAGCATTATCTTAAAAAATTGAGTTATAAAGCTGATATAATTACTATATAACTCAAGAAATTCTCCGTTATAAAAATAGAAAGTTTGCTGAAAAGATTTTCTTGTTAGAATAGACTTAAACAGCGTACAACTTATGTTATATTTAAAAGAAAAACTATTATAAACAATTAGAATTATCAGTATCTCATCACACGAATTGAGAAGTAATTGTTTGCAGTTGCTGACAGTATTGATGACTAACATTATACAGGCTAAAACTAAAATTCACTTGACAATATGGAGGTTATGTGTAAGGCAATGAAGAGATTCCAGAAAGTCATAAATCATCTGGATTTATATTGACTCCATGCCAGTGACAAAGGGTTAAAATGACGTGCATTCGTTTAACTAATTGGTCTATCATTATTTGTTTCCTGCTCTCAAAAGAGGAAGTATTTAGAGACCAAATATTGGATATGTCGGTCATTTTTGATTATAAATAATCTAATTTTTCCAAGCATTTGAACTTCTTTTATAAATTGCTGAACTGTTTTTTTTATTCTAATAATTTTCAAAAAAATTGCACCAACTCTTATTATTTTCAAACATATTTCATGTTAACGTAAAGTTAAATGTCAATATTTAGTTGGAAATTGTCATTAAACTTTAATTCAAGAAGAATCAATGGGACAGAAACAAATAATTCATAAATCTCCTGCAGTTTTTAGTTTAGATACTAAACTAATAAATTATAAAATTTTCTACTTGAAAAATATAAAAAAAAA